CCCGCGGTAAAGCATGCCTGTCGTACGAGGCGACTAAAATCCAGCCAGGCGTCGGAGGCTGTGACTTAAAAGGCCACAAAAACCCTGAGAAGCTCCTGAGCTGTGCCGAGTAGACGCCGGCTCTTAGTAAGCGTCCCCCATCCCGGGATGGCAACGTGGAATATCCAAGTGCACAGAGAGTGGTTTAACAGCTGTGCACCATCAAGGGATACAAGCGAGTGCACTGTCCTAAGAGAAGGCAGCTGCATCAACGGTGGATTTCTTTCATGTTCAACAACTATACATGCTCATGATAAACATGAAAGATGAATAATGTGCTAAACTTATTGTAATTTAAATCAGGTTATGGCACGATTTATGAATATATGAACGAATATATGAATACAGGGTACAAACACCCATCAAGATCGAGCCCAGTAAGATCTTGATTATGGCATACTGGAAGAACAATAAGGTTATGAAGATTTCAGGGCTGGCAGATGTGGTATTCTGTTACCTTAGTATATGAGAGTGACATCTCATAGAAATGGCTTTCAGGCTAATGCCACATCTTCCTCCGTCCTATTAAAACTTGGCAAGTCTCCAAGTACGTTCGATGGTTCGTCACCGTTAAGTTGGTGGTATAGGTTCATTTGAGAGTACTCCTGATCTGCGCCAGATCCTGGCTCTGAACACAATCTCCCATAAGGAATTGTGTCAACCCTCGCATGGCCTCCCTGCTTTGCATAGATAACCATGGGGATCGATACAAGCGACTGTACAATCGAACATCGATAGCGGAAGAGTTGGGACCCAAATAAAAATGAATACACAACACAAAATTTAAAAAACAAAACAGAGACAACGCCAACAACATAATGACAAAGGGATGTCCGCAGTGAACATGGACACACCTGAAGTGCCAGAAAACATAAATGATGTACCACCCTCGCATAGAAGCGAATACATAATACAAAGGAAGAAGGAAGAGGCGGAAGCATTGAAGCAATGCAAAGCCAATGCAAAGACAGAGGAATGTTGCGAATGACATAAAAGAATCAGTTGCTGCATTAGATGAGGTTTTCGACGACATTAGTTATTACCGGCTATGTTGAGTAAAAGCTAAAGCAGAGAAAATAAGTAGTGTACACCAATCAAGACTACAAAAAAAATAGCAGTATAGTAGACACTCCCACCACACAACGGCAAAAGCGAGCCGCGACTAGCCCAGTGGTGCAAACCTATGGGAAGAAACACTGCGAAAAGCCAACATATTAGTGGCAAATCGCTACTAGAAAGAGGGCAATAAACGCCCAAGAAAACAATAAAAAATCGGACAATGTAGAAATCCCGCCAAAGAAAGGAGCGGAAGGAAAAAATTCAAGAAATAAGCCCAGAGCGCCTAAAGATAATCCTGAAGCGGTGCTCATAAAGCCAGTAGAAGACAGAAGTTACACAGATATTCTTAAGTCGTTAAAGAACAACGTAAAATTAGAGAAAACGGAAATTGCGATCCACTCCATTCGCAAGACTACTGCTGGGGCAGTGTTGCTTGAAATCGGAAAAGGTGGAAAGAAAGCGGAGTTTTGCGAATCCATAAAAGAAACACTGAAAGAAATAGCGACGGTAAAAGATCTAAGACCGCAAGCTACGATTGAGATCCGCGACTTGGATTGTCTAACCGATGAAGAAGAGGTCATCACCGCTATCCGTTCAGCAACCCAAAATCCAACAGCTGAGATGAAGGTACACGTCACTAAAGCGAATAGTAGAGAACAATGCCGCGCTTTCGTGAAAATGGCAATTACTGACGTAAAGAGCATATTGGAAAAATCCCGCATAAAAGTAGGCTGGACAATTTGTCGCGTAAAGTTACGAGCCGACGTGAAACGATGTTTCAAATGTTTTGGGGTTGGCCACGTACAAGCAAATTGCACTGGTCCAGACAGAAAAGGACAAGGATTGTGCATACGTTGCGGGGAGAAAGGGCGTAAGTTCAATGAATGCACAAAACCACCGAAATGCTGTCTATGCCTAAATGAAGGGCTCATAGCACGTTCCTGGATCAACTAGATGCTCGGCACACAAGAAAATAGGATATTAATGAAAGTACTTCAAGCAAATATACACAGAAGTAAAGTAGCTGACGCTCTCCTAGCGCAAATAGTTATAGAACGGAGAATCGATCTAGTGCTTATAAGCGAGCAGTACAGAAAAAAGGAAAGCGGAACCTGGATAGAAGACAACACAACAACTGCTGCAATCTGTGTACCAACAGGCAGTAAAACACAAGTCACTAATAGCGGTAAAGAAAACGGATATGTTTACGCAAAATGTAACGGAGTGACGGTAATGAGCTGCTATTTAACACCCAGCGATGATATGCAAACATTTCTAAATAAGTTAGAAGCAATTGAGGATAAAATTCTACAGCTCGACGGTTTTTTCATCGTAGGTGGCGACTTTAATTCCAGGGCAATAGAATGGGGAATGGGAACTACAAACTCAAGGGCAAGACGAGTTTTAGAAATGGCTTCCAGGCCAGGTCTTTTAGTCGCAAATACGGGTACGACCCCAACCTTCAGAAGAGAAGGATGTCAAGGCACTATACCAGATATCACACTTACGTCGGAAAGAATAGCTAATAAGCTTAACCAATGGCGAGTCTTAGAAGACTACACAGGAATTGACCACCAATATCTGTCGTATTATATACAGATCAAGACAACTTCGGGTAATGATCGAAGCACAAGAGGAACCCACAAATGGAAGGTGACGAAACTAAAAAAAAGAAGCCTATTAGAAGCAATTGATGCCGCACTCCCTACGCATATAGCAAATTGTCGTGGTCCTACTGTGTTAAAAAACAACACATGAAGTTGAGGTTCAGTTTTTGTTTTATTTATTTAGATTTAGTTTAAGTCTTAACCCTAGATGCCGTCGCTGCTTCGCTATGCTTGTTGTTGCTTCATACGTTCTGGTACTTCTGATGTCGGCCCTGTTGCTGCTGATGTTGTTGCTTCCAGCTTAGTGGTTGTTGTTATTATTTCCGCTGCAGTTGTTTGCTGTTAATTTTTTCTTATACTTCTGCTGTTCCTCTGCTAATTTCTTTGTTATTTATAAAATAATTATGATCATAACCGAGTCAATTTTCGTTAAAGAATTTGTTTATTGCGGGTGACAGCACAGTGTCTTGCTCGGAAAGCTTAAAAGTTGTTTTGTTGTTTTTGACCAAATTCACATCAGTTCAAAAGGAGGAACCGCAAAGAAAAGTGAAAGATGAGGAAGAAGCTAAAACTTATGTTGATTAATTGCTGCTGAAGAAGAACAAGTTTTGGAGTAACGATATTTGCTTTTAACTGTCACAAAACGTTTTCGTTGCTTTTTATATATATTTAGTTTGTAAAATTGTGCTTTTATGTTTATCAAGCATTTCAGTTCACTTTTATCAACTCTTCAACTTTAGATTGGTTTGATTCAAATTATGGCTGTTTTCTGTTACTTAAAGAACCTACTTTATTTCACTTTCTTTTAGTTCAATTTTCTATTTTCAAAATCAAAAAGTCAAAATGTTTTAGAGACGTGCAGTCCGACTTTTTGTATATGTGTTAACTCCTTTCCGGTTGGAGACGTTTTTAAAGTTCAATCGGTAAAAGTTTTATTTCAGAGTTTTCTTCTAAGATAAGGATTAGTTTTGTATTATGTTAAATAATATTTATTTCAAATTAAAATCGTTAAGACCGCGCTATTGCTTCCACTCGATTTCCGATCAAAAACTCGTTCTCTGTTCGATGGCGAAACAGCAACAACCAGTCAAAAGTTTTTGTACTTTTGCGCTTGTTTCAAAAGTAGCGTGTTTGCTGGTCACGTTTTGTAGTGTCAGCATATTCCACGCTCGCGTTGTGGGATAATTGCCTTCTGCATAGTCCCATGCTACCGCATCGTAACATGAGACTTACTGCAAGGCTATTCTTATTTTTTTTTTCATTGACGGTCAAACCGTTTAACACACACCCTATTGTGTATGTGCCCACAACACCTTCCCCCTTGCGGAGGAGCGTTGACGCTTCTTCCAAAGCTTCCTCGTCATTGGTGGACAGTAGTAACAAACAATGTAGCAAAAGATACGACAGCATATATAATCGTTTACACATTTCTTTATTGTATTATATTAAATTCTTTCTATAAGAATTTTTTTTTTTTTTTTTTTTAAATACTTTGATTTTATAGAATTTTGCAATATTGCACATTTTAATTACATGTTTTACTAATAATTGTATTCTCTTATAATGTATTTCGTTATAAGTATATATATTATTTTTTTTTTTTTTAAATACTTTGATTTTATAGAATTTTGCAATATTGCACATTTTAATTACATGTTTTACTAATAATTGTATTCTCTTATAATGTATTTCGTTATAAGTATATATATTATTTTTTTTTTTTTTAAATACTTTGATTTTATAGAATTTTGCAATATTGCACATTTTAATTACATGTTTTACTAATAATTGTATTCTCTTATAATGTATTTCGTTATAAGTATATATATTATTTTTTTTTTTTTTAAATACTTTGATTTTATAGAATTTTACAATATTGCATATTTTAATTATATTTCTTAATATAGTTTCGAATATTATTAAATAATTTCTTATATACTTTACTTTTTTATATAAAATTGTATTTTCTTAATACATGTAAATTTATAAGTGTATATTTTTTGTTTGGTTTTTCTTTTTTTTTAAAAAAAAAAAATTTATAAAGTCTTACAATATTGCACATTCTAAATATATTTCTTAATATAGTTTCGAATATTATTAAATAATTTCATTTATACTTTTCTTTTATATATAAAATTGTGTTTTCTTAATACATGTAAATTTTTAAGTATATATTTTTTGTTTGGTTTTTTTTTTAAAAACTGTATTTTTTTATTTTTTAAATAAAATTGTATTTTCTTAATACATGTAAATTTATAAGTATATATTTTTTGTTTGGTTTTTTTTTTTTTAAAAAAATAATTTATAAAGTCTTACAATATTGCACATTCTAATTATATTTCTTAATATAGTTTCGAATATTATTAAATAATTTCATATATACTTTTCTTTTTTATATAAAATTGTATTCTCTTAATACATGTAAATTTATAAGTATATATTTTTTGTTTGGTTTTTTTTTTTTTTAAAAAAAATAATGTATAAAGTCTTACAATATTGCACATTCTAATTATATTTGCTACTTCATTTGACCTATGTAGATGTATAGCCTTTAAAGCATTGTCATGCATTTAATTACTAAACAAAGCTTCGTTTAGCAACTCTCTGCCGTAACTATACCATAAAAACCTTGGTACATATGTTCGGAAGTACTTTTACTACTAATCTACTTGTGCATATATGCATTTGCAATACCTAACATGTACATATTTATTACTAGTTCTTGTATTAAGGTATTGACCGCATTCTTTGATATCAGCTTTGTACAGGGTGTCCCCTTACATTCACTTATCTGTAGATCTATAGTAACAAAAAAAAACGTACTAAATTTTAGATTTTTTTTTTTAATAATATTTCAATTAATGGCTTTATTGCACCGGCCATCGGTAATTCACTCAGATTTAAATTAGTTTCATGATTACCAATCCTTACCAGCTACAAAAGTGTAAACTTCCATCTATAATGTACTTAAAAGAAAAAGGAAAAATAAAAATAAAAGGCCCAAAAACAAAACTAGACCGTGGGTTTGGCATTTCGATTCTCACTACTGCCATCGGCCTGTAGTACCGAATCATCCCGTGCCGGGTATTTCCTTATCACCGAACGAATGCTTGGAAAAGATCTAATTGGTGGGGAGTTAGTGGTAAAATTATTACCTAATGTTTGAACTAAATTTTGAAATAATTATGAAAAAAAAAAAATCAAATTAGATTAAGTGTCTTAGTTTGTTTGTCGACCCTGAACCTACCTATTTGAGTGCTGAGTTTAACGTTATAATAATATCTTAAAATAATAGGTGAACCGATTTGATAACGATTCTAAGGATAATTCCGAAATATTAGTATAAATATATAGAAAATTTGGGATGAAAACATTCTCAACATATGTGAATACTGAGTTTAATGTTTCAATAATGTTCTAGGATAATTATAGGATAATTATTAGGATAATTATTGGATAATTATCCTGACTAGGATAATTACCGTCAGGCACTTCAAAAAGATTCAAACAGAATATTGAGTCTCGCTGATTATTTTATTCAAGTTGCCTAGTTGCAACCTAGTTTTATTCGCCTCGTTGCGAACAAGAAAACGCCTCGCTGCGCTAGGAAAGACCATAACTATTGTAGTATGTATGTGCTTATATCTTTATATCAACACATAAGAGGAATTCGCTTACCTTGCGTATTCTCATAAGTATCAAACAGCCATACACATTGTAATGGTCAACTGATACAATGTACATCCAGCACATGCGAACTATTGCTATCCCACGCGCAAGCGTACGTGACACTTTATGCGCACTCAGCGCTTTAACTTGCCACTGATGCTGTGCTTATATATAAAGCTTATCCTATGTGCAATTAACATATAAGAAATATATGACACTGAAGTTCTAATACGCTGAGCATTAGCATTAAGATGAATCAATTACAATAAACCTAATAAATTTAATAACTCAACCTAATAAGTCGTGTTTTACTTTTCACTAATAAGCACACTTCATTATACTTATCCAAACACATTACATGTCCGTTGACCCCTCCGAACTAATCAGAGTAATGAATTGAAAACGTCCCATTCGGACGTTGGTTTACTGTACCTCTATCCGTTATCTGGTACTTAAACGAGATACCCCAGGTATGAAAGTTACAATGAACATCAAGATAGTGCTTTAAAGTTACAGAATTTGTCAAAACAGTAAAATTAACTGGTGTTTCAAAAAAAATATATGCGCCTATACAATCAACAATGCAATTGGTTGATTGATTGATGTTGTGAGTTAAATATTTATCTATTTAATTTCACGGTTTTTGGTAGTTTTTCCGTAAGGTAGTGTGTACGATCT